GCATTTTTTAAATGGTTTTTTTGTTTTTTTACTGGAGACATTTTGCTTCGAGTTATTTCTTAATCAGGAAAGATCGGTGTTAAAAATTTCGGCATGAGGCGCAGCATTTGATGTCTTTAGATACGGCGCACCATATCCAGGTTATCATAAGTTGTCACGTGTAGTTTGTGTTGCTACACAAAAATTTAGACTTTTTTTTTGATCAAAAAAAAATTCACTCTTTCTAATGGCTATATAGCCTTTTTTTTAAAAAAAAAAAAAAAAAAAATGGTATATATATCTTTATTTTTGTCGTTGATTGATTAATTAATTGTTAAAAGTTAATAACAAATGATATTTTAGCCACAAAATGAGTATATTGAAGAAGCAATTAAAAAATATGGAAGAAGGCTAGATTATGAGGAGAGAAAGTAATACAATTGATTATAATTTTTGATTCTTTTTAAATTCTTTAATTAATATTTTACTTTATTTTTATTTAATAAGGCGTAAGAAACTTGCACGTGAAGCTCATAGTTCTTCAAATTTTGCAAAAAAAGTTCATGGAATAAAAGCCAAATTATATAATAAGAAACGACATGCAGAGAAGATACAAATGAAAAAGAAGTAATTAATAATTAATAATTTGATTTATTTGATTGTTTTTTTTTTTTTTTTTTGTCAAGAACAAAAAACAATGATTAATTCTTTTAAAATCAAATTTTTTTTAACATAAAAAAAAGGATTAAACAACATGAAGAAAAATCTTCTAAACAAAAGGACACTCAAGCACTTTCTGAAGGTGCTATTCCAACATATTTGATGGATCGTGAGAAACAACAAAGAGCGAAAATATTATCAAATATGATAAAACAAAAACGAAAAGAAAAGGCTGGGAAATGGACTGTTCCATTACCTAAAGTTCGTGGTATTGCAGAAGATGAAATGTTTAGAGTAGTAAAAACTGGAAAGAGAAAAAGTATATATACATTATACATATACATATACATTAGCATTTATATTTATAGTAAAAAATATTAATAGTTTAGAAAATTTATTTTTTTAGCAAAACAGTGGAAACGTATGGTAACAAAGGCAACATTTGTTGGTGATGGTTTTACTAGGAAACCTCCTAAATATGAAAGATTTATTAGACCGATGGCTTTACGTTATAAAAAGGCACATGTTACACATCCTGAATTAGCAGCCACTTTTCATTTGCCAATCATCAGTGTTAAGAAAAATCCTCAAAGTCCTTTATATACTCAACTCGGTGTTATAACTAAAGGAACAGTTGTAGAGGTGAGCTCTACAGATGTATATTTATTTATTTGTTGTTATTATTAATAATTACTTTAATTATTAATTTACTTGATTTATTATTCACAAAACCATGTATGTATATTAGGTTAATGTTTCAGAATTAGGACTTGTAACAACAACAGGAAAAGTTGTATGGGGAAAATATGCTCAAGGTATGTAAATAATCATGATAGTAATTATGATCATTATTTATTATTAATCTTATCTTTTCTTTTCATTTTAAAAAAGTTACAAACAATCCCGAAAATGATGGATGTATTAATGCAGTTTTACTAGTATAAAAGAAAAAAAAATTTGCAAATGTTATTATATAGAAAAAAATTTTTTTTTTAATATTTAATAACTTTATTAATTAATTAAATAAAGAATGTTCAGTAGAATAAGTTCAGTAAAATCAATAATGCTTTTTCTTTTTTATATCATCCTTGATTGAGGAGGGAATATCTAATTCTCCTGGTGTATCTGAAAGAAAAGAAAAATCATAAAAGATTAAGGTAAAATGCGAGCAAAATATATACACATACATTTATGTAGCACAAACGCAATTCCGTCATTTAAAACGTCCCATGCTATCCGATCATCGTAGTCTTTTTCAGATTCCTCCTTTGATATGATTTCGAAATAATCCCCGAGAGACCATAATGCATGACCATCTGAATCTCAATCAAACACGCGACTGAAACAATCCATAAAAAGCATTCCACAATAATGTTTCCGATAATAATAATAATATGATTAAAACTAAACTGTTTAACTTCCATTACGTAACATCGAAGCTCCATTATAGTATTTTCTTTAGGATCTTCAGTTTGGAGATCAAGGCAAAGGGAAGTTGCCACACGACAACTATCAGATTCACTTAATATTTCAAACTAAAATGGGAGAATTAATGCACGGTGGTTTATCGAATTCTGCACCATCTGACACTGGGTAACGGAGGAACTGTCATCTTTGTTTTCAGGTTCATCGTCCGGGAGCACAAGGTGACACGGCATTTCAGCGGTTTTTTTTGTCCATGTAGAGCATTCCAAAGTACTGTCTTGGAACAATTTCCCCAAGCTTGATTGCAGTTCTTTAATTTTTTCTTGGTTGGAACACTCGAAAACAATGTTGGCATCATTTGTCATTCTTGTCATTGCTATTAGCTTGACTATATTGTGTATCTGTCCCCTCTTTTGTCTCATTTCTGCTGTCCCGTAACGAATTGAAGCCCCGGAGAAGTATCTCATAATGTTCCCTTTTCGAACTGAGAATGCCAGGTTTATTGTCCTCTGTCATTTAACAAATATAGATGAGATAGATGAGAAAATAAATCTGTCAGTTTAGAAGTTTAACAAAGCCGTTACACTTATTTTTAAGTAGCTGATTTTGAAAGTCAAGGTCCTTCATACTAATTCTATGAGGACGAATTGAATTGAGCAACAATTAGTTATGTTATTTATTTTTTATAACAAAAATTATTAAATTATAAATTGAAATTAACTTCAAATCACTATTGAAAATAACTATTAATTTAAGACATAAAAATTTGTTACTTTGTTAAAGCTTCCACAGAAAAATATGTACCTCTTTTTAAACATTCAAAAATTAAAGGCACTAAGGTTTTCTTTTTGTTTATTTTCTGAATTATCTTTAAATTCCCACTTACTAAAAATATTCTTTCTTTGGCATTCTCTAGATGTGCCCATATTTGAAGCTGATTTAATCCAAGTATAGGTTCCTTTGAAATATTAGATTTTTTATTGATGTTAAATTATTTTCAATTTTTTTGGTATCTTTTTTCATGGCTTTGAGATTTTTACAAAAACTTGAGGTTCTTTTTTCAGGAATAAGCTCATTGAATCTTTAAGCTTTTGTCTATTCCTCATATAGATAGGAATAATTTGCTCATAAATAGATTTCTGTTATTTCATATTTGTATATTAAGTATTTGACTTGAAATGTCAAAGATTGTAATAAAAGATTCCAGCAATAATAAATTATTATTTAATAAAACTATTGTGTATATATGAAAAATATTGGGATCAAGTCTTTTGGTCGAAGAACCATTTAAATTAGTTGCATCTGCTATAAGCAGATATTGCCCATCTTAAAAAAATTTAATTTTAATTTTAATAAAACTTACATAGGGTAAAATTTAGTTTCTTTTGATATAAGGTGCAAATTTGAAATATATATTTTATTATTTACTTTTTCAGAAACAATACGAGCAATATTTGCTAAGTCAACATATCACTAGAGAAGAAAAAAAATTTATTAGTTGTCAGTTTAAGGAGTAATAACAAGGTTTTTTCTGGTCGTTTTTAATCGCATTCTTGTCATTCAATGATGTTCTGGTGCATTTGTGACATTTTATGATAAAATTCATTTGTCATAACATCCATCATTATTGCACTTATATAAACAACTAAATATCGACAAACAGTCCTGTGTAAATCTTTTCTCTTAAACCTTCAAACCTCTTGGTCTTTTAACTCTTTACACATTATTTTAGAAATTATGGTATTATCACTAAAAAAAATTCCTTGATAATAGAACTAGACGAATAGACAGAATAAAATTTTTAGCTTCGTAATAAGCTGCCTCATCTACGCAATATTTTGTTATCTATTATTTTAAAAATTCAACGATCATTTTTGAAATAGTAATAATGAACTCTGTTGTTTAATAAACCAATTAATTTTTGCCAGCAAAATTTAAAAATTTCTTGACAATCTAGCTCTTTGCGAAATAGTGATAAAACTATATACTGTATATGAATATAAGTATATGAAAAGTAATAAATATAATGGTTCTAATGAATATGAAAAGGCAATTGATTTTTTAGAAAAGGTTGTGATTGTGGTTGCTCTTCAATAATTCCCAAGAGAATTTGCAGAATTACATGAATCATTTCTAAATCAGAACAAGACATATTTTTAATGGCCAAACTCCTTATGAAAAATAAAAATACGGAATTAACGTATTTCTTATGCGGTTTGAAAAATTTCCCCTTTTCAAATTTGGTACAATTAGTATTAGTATTAGTGCAAAATACGGAATTGATACGTAATCAGCACGAAATTTGTACATACTAAAAAGGTACTAGTACGTTTTGATTCCGCGTATAAAGTACGTAGTATGTAAAATATTGAAAGGGAGGGATCATATAAAGAATACATTTATTTTATTCGTTATAAAACATACGGATTTTTATTTTCTGCTCAAATTTTTGGTCATGAATTTTGTGTACTGTTATCCGTGCCCGTTATTCTCTGACTGATCTACAACATCTACAGAATCAAAAAGAAGTTCTACTTAATGCTAAATATATCTGACCTGGTGCAAGCATATTATCATCTACAGTTAGCGTTAAGCCTTGTATCTTGTAAATGGTCAGTGCGAATACATTTCGGATTGGGAGCTGATTCCTAGATATATTTATTCATTGATATTGAAATATGAAATTGTTTTTTGAATATTAATTTTTAAATACATTATCAGTTGTAGGAAAAGTGACTTCAACATTATCATTGCTAACAACAATTTTGGCGATTACTCTCCAAGTGTTCCATTACATAGATTATGTTCTAATATTTTATTATCCAAATACATTGCACGGGCACCTTCTTGTGTCATGACAGAGCCTGGAAGACTGGTGTAATTATCATTATTGTCGTCAATTATTTGATTATTAAACATGTTTGTGGATACAATAATTGACGAGCTCATTCCTCATCACACCTGTAAGTGGAATCCCACTTAAAGCATAGTTTCTAGTAGCTGAATTGATAAGAGACAGTTATGGGAACAGATGACATTTTGAATAGTGTCATAAAGAGAAATTTTCACATTTTTATTACTATACATATACATAGTAAAACAATCGTGAATAATACAGATAAAAAACAAATAGTAGATCAATATAAATTAGATTTTATTTATCTAAAATAGGATCAACAATGTACCTGTTTTCATTTTAAAAAATGATTTATTTTAAATTTTATCTGCTTTATTTTCTCAAAAAAAAACAATTGATTAATGTTTTCTTCAAACGATATCCGTGTAGTGGTTTCTATAGGTAAAATTTATTATTATCATAAATTTGTATAAAAAATATCCGTACTAGGATAAGATTTTAATAATATTAATATGAATTAATTTTATAGATTTTGGTAGCACTTATTCGGTAACTAACTACACAATAAATAAAAATAACAATTTTATTTATCATACATATATATAGTAAGTTCAAATTTATACATTTAGGGATATGCATATTCAAATAAAACACATCCACAAATCATTACAAATTCTGCATGGCCAGGTTTAATTGGAAAATTCAAGATTAATACAGTATTGCAATATGATGAAAATTTTAAAAATGTTAAATATTGGGGACACCAAGCTTTATCAAAGAAACCATCTGGCAACAACACAATTGATGATAATAGTGATAGCAAAGATGAAGATCAAATAGTTGAATTATTTAAATTACATTTAAGTGAAAAGATACCAGTAGAAGAACAACCTAAATTACCAGATGGGTTAGATTCCACTAAAGCAATCACTGATTATCTTCATATCATTGGTAGGTAAATTTATTGTTTTTATTATTATTATTATTATTATTATTACTATTATTGTATTTAAAAAATTATTACTTATTTTGTTTTTAATATGAAAGGCATGGTATGTGTTATGATTATTATTGTCGTATAACAATAATATACACTTGATATTTTGGTTTTTTAATATATAAATATATTTTATTTTTAGCATGCAAAACAAACAATTGAAACTAGTTGGCCTGGTATAAATTTCAAGAAAAATGTATTATTGATTCTCACCGTTCCATCTGAATGGTCTGAACAAGCAAAGCATACAATGAGAAAGTGTGCTTATGATGCAAAATTAACAAACATTAAAAGTTCTTCGCATTTACAAATTATCACTGAACGTAAGATCTAAAAAAAATATATTATTATTTACTTATTTATTTAAATTTTTAACATTTATTTTATATGGTAATTTAGCTGAAGCTGCAGCGATATATTGTAGGAAATTAATGAGAAAGAAATTTTTTAGAATTACTGGAAGTAAGTAAAAAAAAGTTTATATATAATACATATGCATGTATATTAAATTTTTAAGAAAAAAAATACTTGATAAATTTTATAGAAAAATATTTAATTGTTGATTGTGGTGGAGGTACAGTTGATTTGACCATGCGTCAATTATTACCAAAAAATCGACTTGGAGAAGTTACAGAATGTTCTGGAGATTTGTGTGGTGGATCGTTTGTTGATTTGGAATTTGTTAAATATATTGGTAGAAAGGTTGGTGTCAATGCAATAAAATCATTAAAAGAAAAAAAGTATGGACAATATCAATATATGATTCAAAGATTTTGTGACAACGTCAAGTTTAAATTTGATGGTGGAGATGAGGATGTTGAATATGATTTTGATATTGAAGAAATTTGTCCTGCACTTAAGGATTATATAGCTGGTAAATTTATTCTTTTTTTTTAAAAAAAAAAAGTTTTCCATTAAATTTAACCAAACACACTTACATATAAACAAATGAATAGACTCACAAAAGGATCAATTGAAAGAAGATGAATGGCTTATCAACTTAGATTATGAAACTATCAAATCATTTTTTGATCCTGTCATTGGCAGGATAATTAGATTGATACGCAGTCAATTAGAGGCAAGCAATGGTGATTGTTCAGCAATATTTTTGGTTGGTGGATTTAGTGAATCACTTTACTTAAAAAAAAGAATTAAAGAAGAATTTAAAAAGAAACAATATGTTTCTATTGTTTCGGTACCCTCTGAGCCAGCATGTGCCATTGTGAGAGGAGCAGTCGAGTATGGGTTGAATAAAGATGTGATAAAGAATAGGGTGTTGAAATATAATTATGGGATAGTTGTTAAAAAACCTTGGACTTGTGAGTTTCCGGTTGCAAGGCGTGAAGAATGTGGAAACGTAAGATTAATGCGTTGGATGGCTACTAAAGGTCAACAAGTTAAAGTTGGTCAGAAATTTTCTACATATTTTAGAATGTCCCATGAATATCAAACACATGTAATTGTGGATTTGTATATATCAGATAATATTACAACATATAGTGATGAGCCTGGTGTTTACAAGTTGGGAAAATTTACAGTAGAAGTGCCTGATGTTCATTTAGGAAAAAATAGACGTACCGAATATGAACTTTGTTTTGATCAAGATGAAATTACTGCAACTACTAAGACTCATAATGGTAGAGAATGTAAATGTAATTTTGAATTAGAATTTTAATGTCAAATATATTTATTTTTATGTATGAAGCTTTTTTTTAAAAAAATATTCGTACGAGATTTTTAATTCCTTAAAATAATCTAATCAAAATCAACGTGGCCTGAATTATCACGATCGGTGTACATAGGTAACTCGATAAGTCGGTCGTGACTTATTGGGAGAACTGATTTACCAAGAGTGTGTGACATAAATAAATAAGTAGTAAATGAAATAATAATAATAATAATATCGATATTGATAGTGAAAATAACGAATTAATTAATACAGTATAACTTGAGTTGAGGAGAGCGAAAATTAATATAGTAATAAAAATATTCATTTATCAAAGATAATCTAAATTCAGTCAACGGGTGCACGAGCGCATAATAAATATTGTGTAAAATTAATAAAAAATGAGGTTCTTCCAGGCAGTGAAAATAAGTAAACAATAAAGATATATTACTATGATTTCTGATTCCTCGCTCAATTAAATGTAATTATCAATATATTTATTATATCTCTTTGAGGGCAAGTCTAACTTTCTTGATACTCTTCCCCATCTTCTCGGAACTCGCATAATTATTATAAGAGCCTCCCATTCTTACCATAACCTTGATATTCCGCGATTTTCTTTTCCAAATACGTAGCTAATCTTTAAATCCCAATGCTCAATAACCATATTATTTTATAGTATTTCCAGTGTAACTAAACTTGAGGTAAAAATTCATTGCGATTTTTTTTAGTTTTATTTTTCTTAAATATAAAGTAAATAAATTAAATAAAATTAAATAAATTAATTATTAATATTAATATTGACAAAGGAAAATTTAAATTCGATTTTTACAATTTCTACAATTCTACTACTACAATAAATATTATTATTCTATATATACACTGATTATATATGGTAATTTACCATAACTTCAGTAAGTTGTTACATTTCTGTATTTGACACCAGGAAATTTTTTTATGTATTATAAATTATTCAATTATTAATTAGTTGAACTTCTATTCCTATTAAACGACCATCCTCTGAGTGTCATTCTTCTCTCAGCAGATATCAACGATTTTTTCCTTTCTGGTGTGACTTTTCTTTTTTCAATCATTAAAGCATCTGAAAGTGTAAGCCCATTAGGACTATCTGGTAAATTGATAATAATACCATTGCTACCATCAGATGTTGATGACTCAGATGTCTTTTTATTATTATTATTATTATTATAACCAGATTGCATTGGTGAAAACCTAGATGAATTAAAATTTGCTTTTGCTGCTGCAACTCTAGTAATTATTGATGATGAAGATGATGGACCAATTGGTGATGTACCAATTGGTGATGTAGGTGATATTTGTTCACCATTTAGTTGTGAAATTGCGTAAAATGATGGAATCCGATTAGGGTTATTGACATTTAATGGCGGTAGGAAAAATGGTGAAGTTTGCGACGAAACAATTGTTGATATAACCTGATGATCATTTGTTGTTATTTGTTTTGATTTTTCGCCTTCTTTTGCTTTTCTACGTTCTGTTAATCTTTTAATTTCTTCAGCAAAATTTTTATGGAAAACTAAAATAAATGTTATAGATTATGTTATTCAAAAAAACATTTGAATAGATATATAATTGATAATAAACTTCTTATTATTAGTTACATTTAAACAGAGTCTCGTGTAATGGTCGCATGTCATGTGACACTAAGCAATCGTGTATTTGCAAACATCTATAAATAATTTCAACCTGTAATAATAATTGTGATGATGATTATGAGATTATATTATTCAATAAAAGAACGATTTATTAATCAAATATATATAAATATTAATTTTTTACAAACTTGTTCATCAATTGATTCTTTCAAATCTCTTACTAGTGATTCTTTATCAGGATTAGTTGATATGAATTCAGGATCAAAAAATGCCTTTTTATACATGGGCACACCACCATTTACAGGTGCATCCACTGCTCCATTTAGTGACATTGTTAAAGGATTAGTGTTGACCTTGGCAGTTCCCACATTATTTGAATTAAGAAGTGCTCTATATTTAGATTCTAAAATTAATAATTCTTTATTCTTGGATCTCATTGTAGTCACTGCATTTTCAATTGGTGAAACTTCAAACACAGTCATTTTGATCACTTCAGATCGTCGTAAAACAGTTGGAAAATGGTCTTTAGAAACTAAAATGGTTTTTTCTGTCCATAAATCCAAGAATTCATTGCCAGATTTAATGCCATTAGGATTCTTATTCACAGGTCTGGAGAAACTAAATGTGTCTACAGAATTATACTCATAATAGGAGCGAATAGATGATGGAACATCTCCTTTAAATACAGGGAGATCTTTATTAGGCTCTGGTTTTACGGCTGTCACCTGAAGGAATTGACCATCTCCATGAAGAATGTCATCAGTTGGAGGGCTATTTGATTTAAGTAGTTGAGCTTGTGTGTGTTTGTTCTGCATACGTTCGCAAAATGCACCAATCTTTTCCCATTCAAAACCACGATAAATAAATTGTCGATTTTGTAAACTAGCTGGAAATCCTCTACCATAAAATCCAACTCTGAAGTACTCACTGAAATAGCGTTCCTTCATTATAATGTTCTCATGAAGTACAGCTTGTTGTTTAAGTATATTGCTTAAACGTTGATATTCAAATGTGGTACACTCAAATTGTTTGGCCAGCTCTTTGCATATTTCTATACCATATTCCCAAGCCTTTCCCTTAACAAAATAACCCAATATTTGAATATATAATCTTTCCTTTCTATCAAAAGCTGATTGTTTAGGGAAATTTAATTCAGGTAATGCTTCCACTTCAATATTTGGATCCCAATTGTATAAATCTGAATGTAATTTTAGTGTTAATGCTGCCTCAACAAAATTATGACTGTTGATTTGCATTTGAACAAGCTGATGCACATATTTGATATAAATCTGATTCCTTTCAATAGTTTTTATGAATTTCATAAGTTTGAGTGTACACATAATTCGATCATCCTGGAATTCTTCACCCTCGGGTAATTCACGAACGCCAAGTAAAAGTTCTAAAAATTCATTCAAAGAATCCAAGAACTTTATCATTGCGTCTCTTAAATCCATATCGACCAAAGATTCTTCAAATAATCCTTTCAATTGTGCAATAAAATATGAGCAAGACATTTCGTCACCTTTAGTTTCAGACATGAAAAGTCTATCAAATATATCAATAATGTCTGATTCAATTTGTTTCAAATCTTTTTCTAGCATATATTGTGTTACTATCATGCTGAATAAAACAGTGGTGGCAGCAGAACGCAACTCATCATGATGAGACAGACACAATTCTAACATTGGACCTAATAATGTGTTTATGAATCGAACTTGATAACCACCCATTTTCCCTTCTTTACCCTGTTCCCATCCAATAGCATTCCATAATGTTGATAATAATTTTGCTCCTTGTCCACGAATATCACCTGCCAACCTCCATATTGCACGACGTTTTTGTGGCGTGAAATCTTCAATCACTAGATGTCTACTGGTAAGCAGACATAAAAGACAATTGAAATATTCTCTCCAAAGTTCTTCATTAAATGAATTTGGTGCTTCTTTATCTGGTATATAATTTTTTTCCATCATTATTGATATTGGTTCAAGGACTTTTAAAAAGGTTTTATGAGCTATCATATTCATATTTAACCATGATTTTGGAAATGCATCATTTATTAGTACTGATCGTGCGACTTGGAACAGAATAATCAGAAATTCTGCTGTAGAATCATGACCTTCTCTATAATAAGTTGATAGAAGATGCTCTTTCATGTTTTTTTGTGATACTAAATATATTATTTGTAATAAAACTGTTGCTATTTCACCCAAACCACTAGACATTTTATTTGACGATTGGAAAAAGGGAAAATCTTTTGAGTATCTATATGAATTTATGGTTGATGGTGTTCCTGAATTATTTGTTAAATTTGAAGAAGACAAGGGATTTTGCTCATGATGTAAACTTTCATGTTCATCAAAAGAAGTAATATGTAATTCTCGATAAGATTCACAGAGTTTCATCAACAATGGAAGAAGCACCATCACATTTTCAATTTCTCTTTTAGTTGATTCTTTGTCATTTGAAGCCTTTTCAATTGAATTCTGTAGGATTTCCAACATAACTGCCAAAATAGACACACACAGCCTAATACCATCTTGCCATTGTAATCTCGCAGCTTCGTAATCATTAGTTTGTTTATTTGTAACTTCCCATCTACCCATATGATCAGAAAGCCATTCAACCACTCTAGGTATTAGGGTTGCTCTAGACTCGGGATTTTCAAATAATGGACCGCGACAAAATTGTAGAATCACCAAAAGTTTATAAGCTAAAAGTTTACCTTTAGGCAACCGAACCGATTCAGTAAATCGTATTGCAATCAATATTAGGTCATCAGATGAGAAACATTTGCCAAGGTCAGTGAAAATAGAACCAAAATGTTGCAAGGCTAATGCCTGAGTACCAATTATTGATTGTGGTGTGGTAATTGACATTAATTTGTCTATACTTTTAAATAAAGAGAAAAGATCAGTTTTAAATTGTTCTTCAACATAATTTCCTGACAGACCCATATCTGTTTCTTTTGTTCTTTGCAGTTCCCTGGATCTCATGATAAATTTGAAAATGTATTGCCAAACTTTGATAGCAGAACGTAGATTTTTTGCAGTTTCTACACCGGTTGGATTAGAGACTAAATGGTTCATTGATCTGATGAAATGAGATGAAGCAGCAGCGCAGGAAAAATGGTTTTCAATATATACATCAAGTACAGGCTTAAAATTCATAAATCTTCTGTCAGAAACTATTCCAAGAATAGTTACTAATGCATTAAATATCAAATCATCTAGTTCTCCTTGTTGGTTCCTTGCTGATACCAAAATACCAAATAATGCATCAAAAATATCTTGAAGAAATTTAACAATTTCCACCTCACTAACAAAAGTAAATTTTTTTAAAACTGACTTCAACTCATTTTCATTTGATAATAATTGTTTTTCCCAATTTAATAGCTTGAGTAATACTTCATTCTGTGTATATTTTGTAGAACATAAATAAGTCCAAATTACAGCTGTATCTTTTAATGGGGAGATCAATTTATGTAACGACATTTGAGAATTATTTGTGAGATGTACAGAGGCT